ATACCTGCTCTTATTGCCTCTTCTGAGTACCAGCAATTTTGTCCTTCCCTTTTTTTACTCTGTCAGTTGAGAAATACACTTTTCAGTGTGCTGGTTTCAAACAGGGTGAGGCCAGCTATTATCAAGAGCCATGGGTTCTCTCAGAGTGCATATTTACATCTTAAGGTGCCTGAATACTTTGACAAATCTCTGCAACCTCTTTTTATGGGGATACTTGATCTTCTGTTGGTTTATGGTTTCTGTGTGCTTCTCATTTCAGGTTGCCTACAGATACTTTGTTGAGAACATGAGTTGTTGAGCTCTACCCAGGTCTAAGATCCCTTTGCTTACCACCTTCAGTGTTTGGAACTGGTGTAGACAGTGTTCTCTATTAAACAACATTGTTAGGCTAGTGTTTCTCACTGTTTCTCCTTGTTTTTGTATGTCTCATCTAATCTCTCATCTAATCTCATCTCATAATTTTAGTCAAGTTTCCTGAAGACTAGCTACTGCTTTTTACTGTATTTTCTATGCCGTGTCTTCCAACAATTAATGGACTGTTTCAACTAAAATCAATAGCAGTTCATAACATATGAATAAATATTTTTGTAGCATAAACAATTGCAGAGTTTCCCTTTTATGGCATGAAACAGCTGCACAATTTCTTTTATTGGTCTTACTAAAATTTAACTATCTTTTGTTGGACTTGCCATCAAGCTTTCATTTGAAGATCACCCTCAGACCCATATGAGCTTCTATTTCTAGATTTACTTCTGTTTCTAGAAGTTTGCTTTTTTGCAGTTTCTTGCAAAAAAAAATTTTTTGCTTTTCTATTTCTATGTTTTACTAAGAGTTTTAAATAGCTTTCTCCACAGGCTTGTTTGAACCAAGTATCCCAAATGTTACAACTTTTTTTGAGACTGAAAGGGGTTGTGTACTTTGTCCCTTAGTACTGTCTATGAGATACAGCATGTTGCTACTGTTTCAGATGTAGTGGTGCTTTGTAATAAGTTGCATGTTTTGTGTGTGGGTTTGGTTACTGAGTGGTATACTTTATGACTACATTCAGTGAAATATTGGAAGTTTATTGTGTGAGCATATTTGTTTAGCTTAATGCAGATACGTAAATCATATTCAGATATGAAAATCAAGAACAGTGACTTGATAAAGCACCCATCTACTAAAACTTCTGGTAGAATTAATGCCATTTACTTTTACATACCTCTTACAATCAATGATTTTACTGATGAACTTGTCGAAGTGAGTGTAAAAGTCTATGTTCGTTGACATAAGAAAACAAAAGCCAAAGAAGACTGAAAAGGATAAGGAGCATAAGGACTAACATGAAAGGGTTACAAAATGAAAAAATTCAGGGACTTGAGTGACTTGTAAGGTGAAACATGATCAATCTCATCCGGAGGTTGTAAAAGAGCTGGCTGATCATTCTGTTCCTCAGTAGTCGCAAATTCCCAAAGAGAAAAAAGATTAATCTTGTCAGCTAGGCTCATGGACTGCACTGTGCTGCAACTCTGGACCTAATATGTTATTTTGTAGAGAAGAGGTCAAGAATTGGCAGAAATGGATATAAATACGCATCTAGGTTCAGTGTTGCATCTAAATATTGTTAAAACTAATTAGAAAAAGCAATTTGCAAAAGTTTTAAAGAACTTTTTTTTCGCTTTGCTTAATAATTTTTCATAATTGGATTAATTAACATTTTCTTGATTTGAGAACTAGCTTGCTCCCTCCTTTTCTTTTCATTTTTCACTGCCATTATTTTGTGAATGCTTCTTCAGAAAATTTGTACATATTAACCAAATTTGTGACTTAGCCTAGTAGTTATCATTATTGTCAGGTCTTTCTGATGGTGTTATTCTAATGACCAAAGAATTAGTATGGGGAATGTTTACACGATTCTGAAAGTTTTCTTCCTTGAAAATCCAGATTTAAATAGTAACAGATTTTTATAAATTTTTAAAATTTTTAACTTATAAGCACATTTCCTTAAAGATAATTGGTATTGCATTTAAACATGCAATAGAGTTCTTTCAAACCCTAACTATTCTATGATTCTGTGATTCTATGACTCTATCATAAATTTCTCCCTAAGCCAAACTGCATAATCTTGTATTTCTGTCTCTCTATATGAACCAAAAACATATATATGTGATGAAAATCAAATTCTAATATAAATCTGTCAACTTTCATTTTTGTGTGTATTTTGTTGACATCAATTTTCATTATGGAAACTTAATTTGTAACTATTAATGCAAATATATTTGCTTACCCAAGACTTCAGTGCCAGCTTTTGCTATTAAGATTACATAAAGTACCTGTCGGCCACATTTTAACTGTGAGTTTTTACAGTAGTTTAAACATGTAAGTAAACAAGCCACAGTATATATAAGCAGTGTAATTTTTCTTTTAAAGGTCATCTGTATAAGTCAGCTACAAATCACTTCTTTTTTTTCATTGCCAGTCAAGTCTCATTGCCACTATTTATTTTATGAAAGTTCTATGTAAATATATTAAAAATGTTTTCATGATTTTTATTGCTGGATAATTCAGACCCCATTATTGACACTGTTTCCTGATTTGTTTTTAGTTTCTTTATTCAGAAAAGTCTTCTAAATTTAGGGAGGCATAAAGTTGACAAAAAGCTGCATATGTTTTTCCTACCCTCTTCCAATTGCCTGACAGTTTGTCAAGAGTGTAAAATTATGTAGCAGAGCGTAAAATATGGATTAAACAAAATTCAATCATCTTGAAAGGGGCATGGGTTTGTTTTGGTTTTCTCCCAGTATTTTCTTTTTTTTTTTTTTCTTTCTCTCTCTGTCCATGTTTTGTTCTCCCCTGCTTTTAAGCAAAATGATGTGATTTATCACAGTGCTTTACTTTGGTTCCTAGCTCAATGAAATAATTCAACACATAGCTCTTTTTTATTGTGTTTTTATTTCAGCAAGCCATTTTTTTTGCACAGTAGCTCACTGTTTGGGCACTTGAAAATTCAAATGAAAAGGGGAATTTTTCCCTCAGAGAAGTTTTTGACCAACTTTTCTAATCAGACCATGCTATTTGAAGAATGTTGCCAAGGTATATGCTTTTTCTGTATATTGTGTGTATTTCTTTGCTTGTGCAAACACAACCTGTTGTATGTTTTGCATACAATATTAATGAAATATATCACATGTTGTTTTGGTCATGTAATTTGCTTATTCTGAGTAGTTAGTAGTTTATGACTGGGCTTTCCCATTTGTGCAGGTCATCCCAATTCAAAAGAGAACAGGTTCCCAGAGCAAAAAGATGAGGAACAAACCACTGCTGATATCTGTAGTAAAAAAAAAAAATATCTCTGACAAAAGGCTAACCAGAGTATCTCTGTAAAAGTCTAGAGAAGATGGAGAGAGCAAAAGATGATCGAGTAATGCAACAGGAGTATCATACAGCAGGGGAAATGTAGTTTACCTCCTCCCCCCCCGCAAAAAAAAATCAAACCAAAGAACCCAGGAAAGAAGAAAAAATAGAAAAAAAATTCAGATTTTTTTTTTTTTTTCAGATTAAAAAGTAAGAGATTCAAAGACCAGTCACATTCAAATTGTCACAGGAAATGTGTAACTGTACTCATGGGCATTTTATGAGCATCTGTTATGAAGGTTTCAAAGAAGAAAAAGTAAAATCTGCTGACATTTAAGTGAATGTAATAAGAAATCCAACAATGTCCTCTTTCAGGTTTGGATGCTTTTTTTTTTATACTGCAAAATGTTTCCATTAAAGATTTTCTCTAATTTCAGTAGTAGTCTAGTGGCTTCATGATATATACATATATTCTTTTAAAGTTATTTTTGTATGTAGGTAATTAATTAAAAAAAATCAAGGAGGGAAAAGATTAGCTGAAAAGGAGTAAGTGGGACAGGGAAAGGAGAGAAAAATGTTGGGAAAGAAAAACTGGAATATAGGCAGCACATGGGTGAGATGGAAGTTACTCTGTAGGCATTTTAAATGACATAAAGAGGCAACCCTAAAAAAAAGTAAAATGGGTTATTCTTCACAAATAGGAAAAAACCCAAACAATCAACCAGGCATGGTCAAAGGGTGTAAGTAGAAACATCTGAACTGGAAGTAACTTAATATATTTACACAATAACATACTGTTTGACAGTTGAAAATTCAAATGAAAAGAGGAAATTTTCCCTTATAGTAGTTTTTAACCAACTTTTATACTTATAGCATATTATTTGAAGAATCTTTATAGTACCTGAAGGGGGTCTACAAGGATGCTGGAGAGGGACTCTTCCTCAGGGATTTTAATGATAAGGTGTGATGGGTTTAAACATAAACAGGGGAAGTTCAGATTAGATATAAGGAAGTCCTTTACTGTGAGGGTGGTGGGGCACTGGAACAAGTTGCCCAGAGAAGTGGTAAATGCTCCATCCCTGACAGTGTTCAGGGCTAGGTTGGACGGGGCCTTGGGCGATGTGGTCTAGTGGCAGGCAGGGTGGAACAAAATGATCTTAAGGTCCTTTCCAGTCCTAACTATTCTATGATTCTGTGATTTTTGCTGTGATTGTAACTGTAACCAATCACTAGGCTGTGATTGGTCCCTAGAGTTTGTTTGTTGGGTTTTTTTTGTATATTGGCCATTTTTAAATCAAAATCAAAATGGATTCTTACGTAGGACAACCACATATTTTCAATCCTCGTTAGGAATCATTGGATCAAATTACACCTTTCTGTGTTACTCAGAAGTCAGTGTAGATTATCAGTGTCCTGTCATGGGGACCATGCTTCTTAAAGCTTCTTAGAGAGTAGTATAAATGGTAAAGACAGAGGAAACTCAAATACTAAATAACTATAGCTCTTTCAATTGAAAAGATCTGTTTTCAAGGAACAGATCAATGTAGTAATTATTGTAAAAATGATTACAATATGATATACTTCATACAGCTTAAATTTGACTGCTTGTCAGTAGGAGAGGAAAGTGTGATTTGCCGTCAGATTCAAAAGCTCATACTTGTCCACTTCTGCCATTCTGCCTCCCTTATTCAACTCTTCCAATGTTGCTCTAAAAGAAAATTAATTTTGGCTGAATTTATAAAGTAAATCTTTCTTTCTGTGAGGTTTTTTTACTTCACAGTTTGTGTGAAGCAGGCTTTAAAACATTGGCCAGAAGTCTGAGAGCAATGACAACCAGGGATTTGAGACAGGAGAATTAGTAGCAGCTCCAAGTATCAGTGGGTACGAAGGTCTCTGTCATTAAGGACCACGACTAAATAAACATGCTGGGATATGATTGCTTTATTGCTGTTTGCTCATTTTATGTCATTTTATTGCCTTACTAATGGCTATAGGATTAGGTGTGTAAGGGAGTTCTGAAAATGTGGAGCTAAAAGGTATATAAAAAGTGTGTGCTTTCCATAGATTCCAACTTTTTTCTCATCATGGATGATGGAGAGACTAATTTACCTTGAATAGATAAGCATGGGTAGGGATAGAGGCACAGAGGGACCTAAATAGCAGATCCATTTCAAGGCTTCATCCTCACTTTAGTACACCTGATGGTTTCTATGTGTCTTTATAGTGGCCCCAGTGGGAGAGGCTGTGTCATTACAAGTAGTGCTTTTTCCTTCACAGTTAGTCAAACAGTATGTTTCTTAACCAGTGTCTAAATGTGAAAATATTCAGAGAAGAATTAATTATATGTGTATTTAAGTATTAAATAAAACACTCTAATTTCTGATATTGCTCGCATCAATCTGGTATATTGGTGTAACTACCACTTCTGACGACAGAAAGTACTGATGGGCTAATAATTTTACTGCTTTCTATTTTGCATGCACTGCAGTTTATAGGTTTGATAAAGAATGTAGTGCCTCAGCAGACTTACAATTTAGACTGTAAGAATCTCTGTTCTTGACTAAAGTCCTGTTGTATCTAAATAAGGAGAGTTAGTTTCATCCCTGATGCCCAGAAATGATTTTCTGTCTTGTCAGTTTCTTCCAAGGGAAAGAACGATGTATGACCCAAAAGGTTTCTAGTGAAATAAAAAGCAAAGCAAGGAATATTCTCTTAGTTGAAGCTGGTGGATGTATATTTTTTTAATAGGAAAACCTGAAAATTGCATGCTCTTTTTTGGATCTTAACGGCACAAAGTTAAATTTGGGATGCAGAAAAGGTACTTCAGAACTTTATGAGTGTCCAGTGTGTATTTTGTTTGTATTCAATGATTACTTATAAATGTACAGAGTACACATACACAAGAATTGTTGTGGTTTAAACCCAGCTGGCAACCATGTACCATGCAGCCTCTCACCTAGGAACAAAATTAACTCTATCCAGACAAAACCAGGACAGTATCTGTAGAACTAATAGGTAGCACTGACATAAATATGCATAAAGTAAAAATATAGTTACTGCCCAGCTAAAGCTTAGCATTTAAAAGTGCAGTTTACCCAAGAAAAGTCAATGAGCCTGCAAGAGTTGTAAAGTAGTTCTCAAGGTTACTACAAAATGTCCCTTTGTTTCCTTTAGGCCTTCATCCTTCATGAAACCCTCTCCACATAGTCAAATTAAACTTCTTTTTCTTTCAGGCTTTTCTACAACAAATCCTGGTTTACTATGCAGTTTACCCAGTACCTAAACATTAGAGTAATCCAAAGAGCAGGGAATCTTTTATTCATATGCTTCTATGTCAACACTTCTACACTCTTAAAAACCATTTTGTCTCTTATTCCCTGTATGTAATCCTTCCAGATAGTATTTTAAGACATTGTATAAATTCTGTGCTTTTTTATTCTACAAGTGGAAGAAAATCTGGCATCAACACTTTCTGATGACTTAAGCGTTTTCTCAAAGTTTCTTTAATCTTCAGAATTGCCTTTGTACCTTGAGTGAAAGCACTGTGTTCTCAACTCTTATAATCCAAATAAGAATTTTCTTTAGGAGCATATTTGGTTTGCATTCCATTTATTTTACTCTTATTGGCTGCAGGTATTACATAGAGGATGGAAAAACAGCCTAGGAAATCAGCCTTCCCTCATCTGTATATGGAGAACTGAAGATTCTGTACAGTGTTGTGTTCTTTTTTGAATGTAAGTAAAGTTTTGCTGCATGCTTCACCAACCTTCTTGCTTGCTAGCTGTCCTATTTCAGCATTCCACTCTCAGAAAAAGATGAACATTTGGACATGCAACTGATGAAAAGGTCATGAGTTCCTGAAAACCACATAAATACCTCAGAAACTGGAGAAATTCGTGCTAGGTTTCTGGAAGGTATGCACACACCAAAGATTTTTGTTAAATGGTATAATTATGTTATTCACCCAAGCCTGTGTGTGCTCCTCATGAGACAATTGCTCCCTCACCATATCTTACGACTTTCTCCAGTTGTCCAGATTTTCCAGTATCTTTCTGGGAAAGGTGCACGGAAGACCCATGAGCCACTAGTTTTTGTTTTGCGTTTGTTTGATTGTTTGTTTTCTTTTGGTTTCTTTGTTTGTTTGTTTGGTTTTTTTTTAATGCTTTAAAGAGCTAATTGAGGATTTGCAGCTCCAACATGTATTGACCTTGGAGACCCAGTCCTTAAAAGGGGATGATTTTTTCCTACTGATTTCATTAGAATTTGAGTGAGTAGGTATTCTTCAGTTCTGGGCCATGAATATACAGCACTTCAAAAAATATTTTTCCCTTTTCCACTTTCTTAAGTAAATTTATTGTGAATGTTTCCTTCCATACCCCAGTGAACTCCATGATTCCTGTTCCTTCCCACTCAGCAGCAACTTGTGCATTTTGAATTCAGTCCTGCTTGGTTCATCAGGATGATTTTTGCACATTTTCCCTTTTTAATTATATAACACCACTTTTGCACAGTTTGTGCAAACATCCTTTGGAATTGTTACAATTTGATTTTCTGACAAGGATAGTTCCAAAGAAGAGAAATGATTGGCAGAGGAAATGCTGCCGATGTATATCTTATTTGCAATTCTAATAACAGCTTTGTGAATTTGAACACATTAGTAAAGAGCACTTCACTCAAGTGCACATTATTGCAGAACTTGCTAAACATGCCTAAGAATAATGCTACTCCAATATGGGCAAATTAGATGGATAACATCGTTTGCAGCAGTTGTTAATTATGTATCAGCTGCAGTCATAGCACAATTCTGTTAATTGCTTATCACATTAAGGTTAACTTGCTGTCATTTATATTTGTTTAATTCATAATTAGAAAAACACACTTGATACAGTTCACTGACCACTTTTAAAACACATATTCATGATGTAAATACTCAGCGACATAAGACTAGAAGAGATCTCCTGAGTCATCAATTTGACTGATGTCACCAACCTTTTCATAAATTCCTCTCAACATCTTAAAACCAGTTAGGTTCCTCATAAAATAGAAGTTTGTTACAGTGCTGTAACCCTGCCATGTTTAGAAGCTTTCCACTTGCCAGTTTCAGATTTATGCCTTCGTTCTTATGGCAGCATTGTTTTATCATCTAAATAATTCCCTGCCCCTCTATGATGTTGAACATGCATGGTTTATTTGTGAAATAAACTCCCTCTCACTCTTTGCATCCTTCAGATGGGCAAAACATCTTTTAGTCTTCTTCCATAAGATCTGAATTCTCATGCCCTGAACATGGCTGGCAAGCCATTAGTACTCCTTAATTCCAGCCATAATGGCAGCTTTTAACCCCCCCCCCCCTTGTGCAGATGGAAGAAGAAATGCCATTCACTGTCAGATGAATGACAGCAGGAGGTGTAGACGAGTTCTCCTGGCTCTATGAAATGTGTGCAGAAGTACTGGTGGAAGAGACTGTCTGGCTTCTTATTTTGGCTAAGTGAACATACATGGCAGTATTTTAATTAAAACTTTTTGAGACAGATAAGTGAGTCTGTTCAAACTAAGTCTCTTATGGTAATTTAATTTATGTATATATCTAAAAAAAATTAGGGAGTGACATCATTGTTTAGCCACAACAGAAAGGTATTGTGTTTCTGAAAGAATAAAAATTCAGTTAAGTGAAAAACTGGGAGACAGTTGTGGAACAGTCTTGTACTGGGGGAAGAATTAGGGAGCTGGATGGAGGGAAGCTCTGCTCAGAAAAACCAAAGGGTCTTGGTAGACAGAGTGCAGTGCATGAGCCAGCACTGTCTCCTGAAACCAGAGGACCAACAGCATCCTGGGCTGTATTTAGCAGGATCGAGGGAAGTGATCACTCCATTTTACTCAGCAGTTGTTAGATGTCATCTAAACTGCTGAATCCAGTTTTGCCCCTTCCCTTCCCCTCTACCCTCTTCATTCTTCAAAGATAGGCATGAATAGTGGACATGTGGACTCAAGTATCATAAACACTATCTTTATTTGTCCTTTGCCTCAGTTCTCTGTTCAGGAAAAGGGGAATATAGTTTGTCCCTCTGTCACAGATACGGAGAAAATGTTACTGAATGCAAAGTTTTATGATAAAATGATGGAGCCTACATACATGAACAAATTAAAACCAAGAAATACACATGGGCATTGCTGATGTCCATAAGAACCACTCAGACACAGCTGTTATATATGATATTTAAGGTAGATATGATTACTTAACCTACATTATTGCAGCTGAATGTAACTTTTCAGATTGCATCTTGATAATTTTTATTGTGGTTGTGGTCAGCGGCTCAATGTCCAGTTGGAAAACAGTAATGAGTGCTGTCCCTCAAGGATCAGTGTTGGGACTGATCTTGTTCGACATCTTTGTCGGTGACATGGACAGTGGGATTGAGTGCACCCTCAGCAAGTTTGCTGATGACACCAAGCTGTGTGGTTCGATTGATACACTGGAGGGAAGGAATGCCATCCAGAGAGACCTTGACACACTTGTGAGGCAGGCTGATGCCAGTCTTATGAAGTTTATCCATGCCAAGTGCAAGGTCCTACATTTGGGTTGGATCAATCCCAGGAACAGCTACGAGATGGGCAGAGAAGAGATTCACAGCAGCCCTGTGGATAAGGACTTGGGGGTGTTGGTCGATGAGAAAATGAACATGAGCCAGCAGTGTGCACTTGCAGTCCAGAAAGCCAACCGTATCCTGGGCTGCATCAAAAGGAGTGTGACCAGCAGCAGGTTGAGGGAGAGGATCCTGCCCCTCTACTCTGCTCTTGTGAGACCCCACTTGGAGTATTGTGTGCAGTTCTGGTATCCTCAACATAAAAAGGACATGGAACTGTTGGAACAAGTCCAGAGAAGGGCCACAAGAATGATCAGGGGACTGGAGCACCTCCTGTATGAAGACAGACTGAGAAAGTTGGGGCTGTTCAGTCTGGAGAAGAGAAGGCTGCGTGGAGACCTCATAGCAGCCTTCCAGTATCTGAAGGGGGCCTATAGGGATGCTGGGGAGGGACTCTTCATTAGGGACTGTAGTGGTAGGACAAGGGGTAATGGGTTAAAACTTAAACAGGGGACGTTTAAATTGGATATAAAGAAAAGGTTCTTTGCTGTGAGGATGGTGAGGCACTGGAATGTGTTTCCCAAGGAAGGTGTGAATGTTCCATCCCTGGTGGTGCTCGAGGCCCAGTTGGACAGAGCCTTGAGTGACATGGTTTAGTGTGAGGTGTCCCTGCCCATGGCAGGGGGGTTGGAACTTAATGATCTTAAGTTCCTTTCCAATCCTAACTCACTAACTATTCTGATTCTATGATTCTATAACTGCACCTATGTCCATTTCTCAAAGTTTCCTCTTACCTGCTTTTAAGATTGATACTAAGCACAACTTCACAGGACAGTTTCCATGCCAATGCAGTTTTTCCTGCTCTGCTTGATCAGTGCTCTGGCTTTATTAACTAGAGAGATGCAGCCCACCTTATTTTTCTAATATTTATCATCAGCTTTTAAAAGGGACTTTTACTGATCTTGATCCTATTAAAATCACTGTTAAAAATGTGTTTGGCGCAGGTATGTGTGTATTTCTTGGAAGTCACAGCTAATGTTTCTGTTCCTACCTGGAAACACACCTGATGTGTTAAAATAAAAAGAGGAACACTGTCCACTGCAGAGTGGATCTCTATGTCCACAAGAAAGAATAGACTTAAGCTCTTCCAGAATCTGTTTTATATGCTCTGGGATCTGAATTTACAAGACTTGCAGTGCAGATGCCTCTTTCCATAAAGGTATCAAGTGTCCAGGTCCTCTACTATTCTCAGGATAGCCCTGTTTGTATTTTGCAAGGAGATATGGTTGTTATTTCATGTTTGTTGAAACCAAGAATGATGTTGTTCTCTTAAGAAAAATGTAATTTTAATATGAAATTTCTTGGTTTATGACGTTTTCTGTGGCCCAGTTTAGGGTATTTTAGAAGCTTTGAATTGTTGGTTTTGATATACTTTACAAGCTATTTTTTCAGCAATACTAAATCCCATAATATGTTATTGTTCTCAAAACAGAAAGCATCCCTTTAAAATTCAGGGTATTTAAAATGCATGCCTCCCTAGAAGATAATTTGCTCTAAAAAAAATCTTCATATTTATTCGATGCATAAAATTCAATAATTTTGATACTTTAAAGAGCTGTTCCAAAATGTAATTGAAACAGAATGTTTCAATGTTTTCGTGTTGTTCCTTTATAAGGGTAATATTTTGAAATTTCTGTCCTTTTGTCATAATTTCAGTTTAAACTCATAGACTTTAACATGCTCTGAACTTCCCATTAACTGATTTTCATAAGAATAAAATTGAGAGAAGTTGCCAAGCTAAGCATAACCATGGTAGTGCCTTGGAAGAGTTAAGTCAAGTGTGTTGATACAACATTCTTTCTGCAGGAATGTGATGAGTCAGTTTAGACTCTAGTTAAAATGTTTAATTTTAGACAGAGTAACTGAAAATAATGGGAATTCTCTGCCTAGTTATTTAATTACCCTTTTTCATAGGACCATGAGTTATATAGTCACTAGCACAGGCAGAAAGGTACTGAGTTAGTATTGAAACAGTATGTAGAATATATAACTAATTCAGAAGAGGATAGAATATAGAAATTTGAAGACTTGCTGCGATTAATTCATCACACACAAACAAAAGATCCTAGGGAAACTGAAAAATAAAAAGCACCAAATAAACCTTACCTTTATGCTGGTTAACCTTTTTTTGAACTCTTTTATTGTGTATGACAAAGGCAATGGTGTTTACCTGGGGAAAAAAAAAAATCATTATGCAGTATTTCTCAAGATAAATGTGGATAATTTGTAAATAAAATTTATCTAACTGGTTATAAAAAACATTGTTTATGAGCAAGTTTGTATAAAAACCTGCCAAGAAGGCTTCTTAAGAAATTACTAATCACGTGGGGATGACTGAACAACAGTGTTTAGTCTTGCTTATCAATATCATAATGGCTTGGCTTTATCTTATACCTGAACTCTTTCCTCTTTTCTTCTCATTTCATTCTGTTCTGTAGGACAAGTCTCTGATTAATTTCCTGTGTATATCAGAAAATAATGAGTTACCTGATTTAAGCAAATAATTAACAAGTGACTCCAGTCATTTAACTGTAACTCAGCAAAACTCACCACAAAACTATGCTACAAAAATCCTTTAAACCATCTAAACTGTCTATGCTTCATGGCTATTGTGAGTTTTTAAGAATAAAATGAATTGAAGAATATTAAGCTAAAATAGAAATATTAAACAGTAAAGTCTACCTAATAGCAAGTCACATACTTAACAGTATGGCTTATCTGTTGCTATGTAAAAAGCAGAAGTATCCTATTTTTTATCCTTCCTCTCCATGAGAATGAACAATTTTCTAATAGTGCCTGCTAAACCCAGATAGGGTTAGCAAATTTACTGTTAATCTGGACACAAAGCAAGCACAGGAATGGATTGAAGGGAAAAATCCAGATTTGCAACTATCTCATGGAGGGAATCTGTATATGGACAATACAATGTAAAGAATTACTAGGACCCAGGATGTAGAAGGAAGAGTTTCCCCCTGTCAAATCCATTTTTGTAGGTATACTTAATGATAATTCAGGAGGCAAATCCAGCTGTCAGAAAAACACTGACAATAAATTCCTGTTTGTGCATATATACACATACATATGTATGGATAAACCAAGATTTTAAATCTGCATAACATTTGATATCCATGTATGCTGCAATCTACTGCAAACAGCTTCCTGGAACAGCTAGATAAAGGAATGTAACTACTCTGTGTTCTCAGTCTTTACCTCCTATGTCCTGTACCTGGCATACTATGTTCTGACTGAGTAGCACAGAAGAGAACACAGCAGAGCAGAGCAGTCTGTTTTTTTGTTGGAAGGGACTTAAAACTTTCAACTCGTCCAACTGCCTGACCACTTCAGGGCTGACCAAGCTAAAGCCTGTTATTAAGGGTACTGTCAAAATTCCTCTTAAACACCAGCAGGCTTGGGGCATTGACCACCTCCCTAGGAAGCCTGTTCTGGTGTTTGACCACTCTCTTAGTGAAGAAATGTTTCCTATTGACCGGTCTAAACCTCCCCTGGCGCAGCTTTGAACCAGTCCCATGCATCCTATCAGTGTCCCAGGGAGATCAGCATCTCCCTATCTCTCCACTTCCCCTCCTCAGGAAGCTATAGAGAGCAATGAGATGGCCCCTTAACACTGTAATCAGGCTTCCACTTCACCATTAGCTATCCCTCTAAATCTTCTATAAATGTGTTTCTTCAGTAGGCATCATCACAACCTTGACTCTTCCATCACCCAGACACACTGCTCTCTATCAGTGCAGTTGCAGAGCTACTAGTTGATGTTTTGTGGTGACCTATATACAGTGCTCTATGTATGACGCCTTGATTATGAGATGGCTTTTCCTGGACTATTTCTTACTCTTCAGTGGTGGTGTTAATTGGTGAAAGGCTGTCCTATGCTAAGTTGTAGGCTGAGAAATCTCAGGAGAAAGTTTTAAAGTTGTTAGATGCTGACATACAGTTATTATAGGAGTAATCCAGCTCTCTTTAGTTGAAGAAACTCAGTGCAACATAATAAAATAATAATAATAATAATAATAATAATAATAATAATAATAATAATAATAATAAATAAAAATAGCAAAAATCTCCCTGAATCTGGTAGGTAATCAAGGGCTGGAGAGTGCAGCTGCAGAACCACCACACATAGATTCACCTCTCATTTCAGTAAACCATGACAGCACACACAGGTTGTCTGGAAAATGTAGAAGATATTATCTTAATAATTTTGATCTGTGCAGACAGTGGATGAATGCAATATGAGGATCATCCTCAAAACACACCTTTCTGTTAAAGAGAATGCAACTAAGAGTCTGCAAACTGGAATGTGTATTGTACCTTGTGAGGTGCTGCTCCAGGTACTCACTGATGTATGTGTGAATGTATAAGTGATAAATAAAATCAGATAAACCAGACAGATTTGTTTACCTTGAGCTTAAATCGTGGATGTAACATCTTCCCTTTGCATATGACACCATTCTATTACTGTTGCTATGCTAGTAGCATATCGCCTCAGTGACAATGTGGTATATAAAGTGAATAAATCATATATCCTTTTAGAATAAACTGCTGGAGGATCTGAAAGTGGACTATATCCTTAGCCAGTGTAAATTATCTTAAGAGTTATCCTACAGCAACTATTCTTCAGACTCAAAATATTTTAGAGCTTTCATAATCCTTTGATATTTCCCCTCAAGTACAGACAGGGCAAAGACCCTAGTGGATGCAGGATTAAAATGGTAAATTGCACTTCGTAGAATTTGGAGTATTAAATCTCTTACACACTTTTGAATCTCTGATGTAGATTACTCATTGACTTCTTCATAACTATTTTTGGATTGTTTCCAGCTTGAAAAATGTGCTGAACAGGGTGGGTCTGTAGTGTTTTGACAAGGCATGTTCTTTATCTTCTGCATTTATTCATATTCATGGTAGTTGAGGTTGTAGCCAGGTGTTCTTAGAGAGGGATACTTTATGAAGCCCAAAGCATAAAGACAATTCAGACCTTGTAGTAATGTTCTGTTCCCTGTTACACCAAAATGAAAAAATAAAAAAAAAACAACCCAACCCTCATCATAACTTATTAAAGAAAGCTATGTATTTTTCCTGTGTGATACAGTGGAGCCCAACATAATAAATCACCAATTCAAATGCAAAAAGGGGCAGATTCAATATGTGTAAGAATCTCATTTTTGTAGGATGCTTGAGGTGGTCTAAGTGTCTAGAAATGTGTGTAATGGAAACAGGCTTAGCCTAGACTTTCTACAAAGGTTTGTACTTAGGTTTCACCTGGCGTGATTTGTTGCAGCTTATTTTACCACCTTGCCTAGTAGATGTGCTATGAAAACCTGTTACTCAGTTCTGGTACTGGCTTTACTGGTATTATTTAACCACATTTTTTTTTTAGGACAAAGTCAAAAGGAAGCTGCAAAATGAAAAGGCATAGAAGCCTCTAAGTGCCATGAATTTACTTGCTAAAGCTGATAGTTAATGCTGGGTTTGAGAAGTGTGTAGGAGATGGTGCCTTTAATCATCTTACTGCAAGAAATTGTGCTGTACATTTGTTCTCACGATTCACAGATTGTTCTGAAGAATCTTTTAATGTTAACCAGTTCAAAGGCAATTTTGTCATTGTTTGGCTCTGATTATTTTTTTTTTTGGGGGGGGGTGGTGGGTGGGCATGGAATGGCTGTGTTAAGACACTTGCTATAATGTTTTAATGTTGTAAGGGATCATAGCCGTGTTTCCATCATGGTGTTTAGGTCTTAAGCACAAATGACTATTTATTTTCCAAGATTTCTAAGAAGTTTGGTGGTGTCATTTAGATTTTATCATTAACTTTTAGATCTGATCCAAATTTAACATTTTTATTTAAAAAATAAGAAGTTAGCCATCTCTATCAAGTAAACTAACACTACAGTGTTACAAATCCTTTAGTGTCAAATGTCATAATTTTGTATGGTTTAGAATACAAGCAAACATTTCCCAGTCATTACTCATGGACCATTTATGAAATACTTGGGTGTGGGTGGTAGCAGAGCTGATGTGATGGTGACTGTCAGTTCTCTCCCTGGCGCTGAGGGTATCCTGTTAGATAGTATGGCACTGAGGGTATCTTACTAGTCTTTCTAGACTGAGGAACCCTCAGTCTAGTATTTCATGGGGGTGTGTCTCTGTAAGCCAACGATGAGATTCTCTCCTGGCGTGTGGAAATTTGCACACTGCTTTTGGCCAATGTGAAGATCTTTGTCTGCTTTTACTGTAATAAGAAGATGTTCTGGCTCAGCTCATACAGTTTCATTAGGTTTTGTAAGTACAGTTTTTCTTCGTACGCTGTCTCAGGTGTGTGCTAGCATATGGGATGGAAGACACATGAAAATGTGTGTGTTATCAACATACTGGGCAAATATGCTAGTTTACTGGTAAAAATAGGATGCCTTCTGAATACGTCCACCTTAATTCACTGTACTTGCAAAGCAAGAAATACTGTGAAGATGTGTTAATCACTCAGAAAACATGGAAACAAGAAAAAATACCTTTAAATTAAGGCTTTTTTTTCTGGGGATCTACATTTCTTCATTTCTTACTGAGCTGGAATGCCAAAAGAACATATTAGTACCTATTAAAAAGGAAAAAAAACCAAAAAAACCCCTGTTTTTCAGTAGTGATAGTAGTTTGCGGTTTGTTTTTATTTACAGGAACACTTTTATGGAAATAACCTGTATTTTATTAGCTTTTGTTCTGTTTTATAGCACAGTCAGATAGAATGATTACATTTATTATGGAGAGCTGAGCAATTAACAGAGTTAATAGTCTTAAGATAAAATAGGAATGCTTTCTGCATGTGATCGTAGAGTCATCATATGTAAAGAAAAAGCATGACAAACCACATGAACAAAAGCATTATTGTGTAGCTTTGTCTTTCTTCACAATTACTGAAAAAAATATTTTGAAAAATGATTTCTCACTCAAGTTTATAGTACTGCTTATGTCAAAGGAGTGTTTCTCAGTTTGACTAATTATAAAATTTTAAAACTTCTGCTTACCCAAGTCTAATATTTCTTGGCTGTCATTAGTAGATGAATTGACTTAGAATTTGAACGAACATCTCATACTCCAAGCTGTGAGGTCATTCATAATTTAGAAAACAGTGCAGGTATCCAATATGAAGAGAAATACGCTGTGTGGGGGTCTGAAGACTAGTGAACATTATAGAGCTTGGATTGACATAGGACCAGAAGCTGCTCATCATTAGCTTCTTTCCTCAACTCCTCTAATTCCAGGACTGCGTTCTGATCCACCTACTCCTGAAATGCTAATTATACATATTAAACTTTTAATATACATATTAATATACATATTAATATATACATATATATACATATTAATATATATACATATTAAACTATACATATTATACTTTACAGTAGTCATTAGTATACATTAATTGGCCATGATGTACATCATTGTGCCAAAAAGTCCTCAGA